GTCTTTCGAGAGAATGAGCCTTCACATCTTTACACCTCTCATGCACGATATATGAGCAAATGAGCTCTCATGTCTTTACATTCTCATATGCAATATCTGAGCAAATGAGCTCTCGCATCTTTACCTTTTTATGCGCAATTTTTGAGCAAACGAGCTCTCACATCTTACAAATCTTTCATACATGATGTTCGAGCAAACGAGCTATCATGTCTTTACATTTTCATACACGATTCCCAAGCGAAATAACTCTCACATCTTACACACTTCTCACGCATGATATTCGAGCAAACGAGCCCTCATGTCTTAACACTCTTAGATGCAATTTTTGAGCACACTCTCTTGCATAAAATATTTTATAATCAAACTCTTACGATTCTCAAATGCTATTTCCAAGAGGACAACCTCCAACAATCCTCTTCATAACTTACAACTCATGATTCACGTTGGACTACCAACTACAAAAGAACATACAATACCATACACAATAAACATACAAACTCTAGACATTATTCAACATACGACAATAGAATTCAACAACAAATGTACTTAATTACAACAAAATGATTGTCACCAACACAAAACAAGATTTAACAATCGAGGGCCTTACCTTTACCCTCCACCTCCTTGCAACCAGGCATACCATCGACCTCTAAGGTTGTAGACATATCTTCATTTGAAGAATCTTTGGTATCATACTCATCAAGAGAATCACCATCCCTTACCAACTCACCCTCAATGACATCCAAATTGGCACTCAACTTAGCACAAGGAAACATAGGCGAATGATACACCACCTAACTCACAGATCTATAAAACCCACGCAATAACTCCTCGGTCGCGTCCGCCTCCAACTTTGTCATGCGAGACATATACCTTCTAATCTGCAACATCATTAAAGATCTCCTCAAATGACAACTTCTCCACATCCTCCACATACCCGTCTAATCTCTGACATCACCAGACCGTTCCACTAACAACTTCTCTACATCCTCTACACACTTGCCAAACGTGTGCATAACCACGTTCTTCTCAATGGATAGTTTCGCCACCTTCATTGCCAACAAGTCACCCTTTTTCTTGTAATAATCCTTTAACTCCTTTAGACTCTTCCTTTCAACCTCAAAGCATGCGCAAGCCATCACCAATATTGCTCTCTCTAAGCAACTAGCATCCAATTCTGACCATAACATATTAACCTTCACCTTCAAAGTTGCCACCTCCTCTCACTCTAAACCATCATTTGGAACAACTGCACCTTTGGCGAAAAAACTAGCCACCACTCACTAATGTATGCAACAAATAACAACACAAGAAACCATTGAAGAACACAACCACCAACTTCAATGTCACTACAAAACAACGTATCTCACAAGAACAAATGTTAAGAAACCAACCCATTGATCGCAAAATGCTAGAGACACACTTCACAAATCATAAATTCTAGTACAGTTGGCCAAGAACTCACCAAAACCGTGAAGGGAAATAGAAAACCATGTTCCAATACAAGTACAAAATTCAATGTATGGCATTTATTGCCCATCAATTCAACAAAAAAAAATCGTCAAATCGTGCATTAAATGCAGCACATACCCAAAATCACATATTTTCCACCTTAGCGACTTTTATGCACCGCTTAATTCCAATGTTGAATCTCACAAGCCCATCTACTTAAACCAACCTTACTTGTAGCTTCTACACCCTAACGGGCTCGAAACTCGGGAAGCTTATGTACCGTATAACTTAATGGATCTCTTAACCATTATGATCACAAGTTGATCTTTCCTCTCTACTACTATGATCACAAGGTAATCTCCTTACTATTATAATCATAACCCAATCTCATTTATGATTGCAAGTCTTCAAATGTATCAACTCATACACATGCAACATCCTACAATTCGTAGTACAAGTCTCTCCAAACCAGACAACCTACCATAACCAGGTGAAAAAATAATGTGACTACAACACAAATCATAACTTTTTCCCTCTAAAAAGTTCAGAGCTTAGAGGCTTGTGTACTACCTCCTAAATCAAGTCGAGTTGATCTACTAGCTTGCCCACAAGCCGAGCTGACCTCCTCCAATGCACCCATATCGAGCTCCTTCTCTATCATCATGTAGTAAAACCCTAAACGGTCAAAACCCTAATGACTAACAGCACAAATATCTTCCATAAATGTCATATCTTAGCACATTGTGATCACCTAACAAAATATCTTTACTAAACTAAAACAATATCTTTGTTAATCAATGACAATATCCCTACACAATCATAGGGAGATATCTCCAAGATATTATGCAACATTATCAAACATATATACAAGGTACTACGTATCATACTACCCTAACCTAGTTTTTCACCTAAACTCCCCTCTAACTTGAGTGGCAAAGTTTCTTTGTAGATATCTCAGTCACAAACATTAGAGTAGTTGAACATCATCTCTACGCGGGAGCACTTGCAAAATGTCAATAAGAACAATTATTTTATTAATATTGATTTATCCATGGTTAATCATTGAATTAGTGACTTGACCAATTCAATGATCAGACAGATTTTAAAAAAATTAGTAATCTATACTTGTAAGACGTGACTTTCACTAATCAAACATTATTTTAACATGAAAATCGATCCTAGGAATACCAGGTTAAACCCCACATCTCAAGATAGACAATAAATAAATTTTCATTATTTAACATAATTCAAAAATTACATACAATAATTTATGTCTTAATTTATAATATTAAAATGATTAGAAATATAAGAAAATTACAAATAAATTATAAAAAAATATATCTTAAATTTTTTCCACAGTAATTTTTTTTTATTGGTAATTATATTTGGACGTGTGTAAGAAAAATAATCTAAGTCGTATTTTTATCTTTTATTAAGAATTATGAATTAAAAATTAATAATTTTGAATTATGTAAAATTAACCAAGTAAATTAAATTGACGTTTAAAATTTTGAATTAAGAATTTGATTTTCTACGGTAATATTCATCTTTAATCGAATGATAGTTAATAGATGAATATGATACTTGAAATTTTTGCATAAAAGTTTATTAACATCTGAATTATAATAAACAAATGATTTATTATTATTTTTATATTTTTCTAATGTATTGTTATAATAATTGTAATATAATATTTTTTTTTACATTGTCTTATTACTGAAGTAATAATTTATTGAAGTTTTTCTTATCTAACCAAAACAATTTTTTTCCATATAATTGAAGTATTTAACTTCAGCTGTATTTGATTACGTGTATTACACGTATAACAAACTAATTTTGTACATTAATAAAAATATAGCTAATTACTTCTATCAAACTCGTTTAAGTTTAAATGCTATTTTACTAATGATTGAACTATTGGTTGCGAAAGCAGAATTTGCGATTAAGAGAGATAAGAAGAAAAAAAAATCCCTCATTTAACTATACCAAGAATTAATTATTGATCACAATAATATAAATAAGTGCTTTTGCTTTTTCTCTTTGACATGTTCATTTTACGTATGCTATTTAATATTTTTTTTTATGTATTCAGTGACATATCCAGAAATTTTAGATAGTGGGAGTAATACTTATTCATATATTTGTAGTATTAAAAATTTTATATATAACTTTTAAAAGTATAAATATATATTCTAATTATTTTTTTACAGTTTTTTATATCTACAATTACGATTAAGGATGAAAATAAACTATGTTAAACTATGTTATATTATAATTTAATAATTTAAACCTAATTTTCTTTAAAAATATATGTTCTAAATATGACATATTTATCTGTCATAGAAAGTTTTTAAATGTTTGGTTAGAACTACAATCTTAAAGACCTAGTTAATAATAATTTAACAATAATAAAAACAAAAAAATAAATATGTTAAATTTTATAAAAATAAACTTTAATTTATTTATGATATAAACATGTTTTTAATATGTAATATAAATTTTTAGATGATAATTTATTTTAAAACACATTTTATAATAAAAAATATAAATAGAACATAAATCTTCCAATCTTTCCTATTTTGATTTTTTTAAATCAACGTATACAATTTTGCAATTTTTACTATTTTGGTTATTTTTTATCAATATATACAATAAATAGAAAGTACAAAAAAGTACAAAAGGTAAGCATGCATGCTGTAAATTTTATTTTATCAAAAATTAATATATTACATTATATGTGTGAGCATTAATATATATATATATATATATATATATATATAT